TTATGACTGGTTTTGTGGTCCAGGGTCACATATATATAATAAATAAATATATATCATTTTTTATGTATATATACCTTTAAATGAAATATATAGTTGATGTATAGGTGCATATAGGTACACAACTGCTTGTAAAGGCGCGCTTGAAATGTCATTGGCACGTCCTCGCTTTTTCATTGGACGGCCTTGAAGACGTTTTATTTTTTTTTAATTGGTTGGCAGAAATGGCGGAAAATTCCCATTGGCACTGAAAGGAAAATGCCATACGAGCATCAAATACCGATTATCTCGAAATGAAAAACAATCTACACATATCGGAGTTCAAACTAAACGACGAGGACTTAATCCAGCACAGCATATATGCCATTTTATCCCTATCGTTCCTGAAAATCGCCATCGATATATACTGCAACGTGGAAAGCGTCGCCCGGGGCCGCGCGTCTGTTGCTAGGTAGATTATGTTAATATATGCAAGGCAGCTATCTCTGCAGCTACCATTCAGAGGGAAGACCCACTTCAACCTTTTCCTAAAAATGCTGAAAACTCTCGGGAAATCCACGCCCGAAGCTTAAGCGCGGATTCAGGATCGTCTCTCAGTAAGTGTCACGTAAAATTCGCGGCCTGTTTTCCGTTGGACGGTCGATTAGAGTGTAGATATATTTTGTCGAGTGTCTTCGCCGTGCTTTGTTGTTGTCTTAGTCCCACCCAAAATGGAGTCGTGTCTTCCTCATTCTGCTGCAGACACTCACGGAGCGCCCGCCGGCCGGGCTCATCTGTGCGCGGGGACCCAAGCGCCCCTGTCCTGCATCTGGAACCTCCACGAAACTAATGTACTCGATTAAAACGACACCGTAGGGCCTTTACAGTTCAAACAGGGCTTCTGCTCTCACCCCACTGTCTTTACCAGCCACCAGCGCGGGTTTATGTCTGATAAAGCTGCAGTGGAGATGTTTTTGTGCCGCTGCTGGTTGTGTGGTATAGTCCGACTGGAACTCCCAACCTGCGGGCTTGAGACAGGGGGGCAGAGAGCCTGACGAACAGCCCGATTGCTTCATTCGCCATTACAGCCTTTATAATCTCTTAATTTATCTCAGGGTTTGATGAAGGCCGGGGTGATTGGCGTTTGTGTGTGTTTTTTCTCTCAGCGCGGCTGACGGGGATTTTCTGGCCGGCCGTGTGTCTCCTCTACCCCCGTGCAGTGATTAGACTGACCGCTCCTCC